GACCACAGAATTGTATAGATCTGACTCACTTTCACACTCTCAATCAGCAGCTCCATACTCCTATGCCACATTAAGTGCTGCCCTGAAGAGGCTCACAGGCAACTCCAGGGTATAAATAATACATCATAATGATAACAGCTTGTGTGATGACAAGAGATTAACATGATTTTGATCCATCCTCAGACATCTGGTAAAAGTGAAAGGCAGTCCCTTTGAGCACTGCTGGTTTATAACTCCAGTCTCCACCTCAGGCATTAGCCTGTGGCCATATTAGACTACGGACTTTGACTGGGTCACTGAACTTGGTCACTGAGCAAACAACTATGCTGGCTTAAACCATAAAAATCTCTTTTCTCTTGCCCCATTTATTCATATTGCTGTACTTCTAGGAGTTACCACCCTAAAAACAGCAGCAGAAGACCGCTCCAGTTCATAGTCTGGTGTTTCAGTAGGAACTCTGATCCATCTGTGATCTGAGATGGGATGCTGCAATGTGAGTTAGTATTCACTGGGTATTATTCTCTAGAAAACCTAAGCCAATATTGTGAAATGCCCAGCACTTTGCTGGTCTCTCTCTTTAAAATTGGATATTTGTTGTTTCTTAAGTGAACTATGTCCAAAGGGTTTACTTAAACATTTATGTATTGAATTAGGCTATTTTTTTTTCAATCAAAAGTGGCTGAACAACTCCATCTCTACAAACAGGCGTCATTCTTCAACTGATGATACCCTGCTAAGGGTAGTACATGATGATCTTAAAAATATTTTCCAACTTAGTTGATTCTATGATTCTATGAACAGAGAGCAGGGCCCCAAGACCTCCATACAGGTCCTGATGACTGCCAGGGAGCTAGGAACCACAAGCAGAGGAACACGATAGAGATCTATCATGGCCTTAACCCCTCAACAAAATTTGCCAGAGGTCATTTGTCAAAGCCCTAATCTCTCACTGTGCTTTTTTTCATGATGACAAAACCAGATTGCTAGAGAATAGCAGAGAGCAGGCCCCTCTACAGGTGTATCAGCCTCTCTGCCTATTTACAGAGACTGCTCCCCATCCTCATTATCTAAACAGCTCATCTATTGAATGTAACTTAATCAACAAATGGAGTTGTCCTTGGCAGGGTATCTTCAGTTGAAGAATGAAGCCTCTTTGTAGAGATGGAGTTGTACAACCGCTTCCATTTGATTGAAAAAAATTAGCCCAATTCAATACATAAATGTTTAAGTAAACCCTTTGGACATACTTCACTTAATAAAAACCAAATAAATATCCAATTTTAAAGAGAGCAGCAAACTGTTGGGCATTTCACAATGTTGGCTTAGATTTTCTAGAAAAAAATACCCAAATCCACTTATACATAAATTAAAGGCATGGTTATTTTTCCTGCAGCCTTTTTAAATATTGCTTTGGAATGTACACAGAAATGTGTGTGTTTGGTGGGGGTGGTGGGAAGAGGTTCCCTCTTCACAGTATAGGCTATCTCAGCACTAGAGTACCTCTTAGTCTAATGCCTTTTCAGACACTCTGAAGACGTGGAGAAGCACTTCTTGTCTAGCACACCCAATAGGGATTAAGCTTTTTTTAATGGGTTCTTAGCATTGCTATTTATTTATTCTATCTAGTTACAAGCATGTTACAGGGAGTGGGGGTTTGTCTTGTTTTGGTAAAGCAAGAATTTTCATCCAATTGCTAAACCTGGAATATTCCTGGTTAACATTACATTTCACAGTGCATAATTCAGCTGCTTCTCGATTGAGTTCTTGCAGTTCCTACTCTGCACCTACCTCCTGTCCTTCTCATCCTCCTATAATGTAGATTGCAGCAGCTGGGTTATCTTTTCTACCTTCAACCTCAACTGTTTTTTCCCCTCACCTTTTGTAAGTACAGAACAAATCTCAGTGTTGAACCTCCACCTTTGCTGGCTCTCTGGTCCAATCTGGTTTGTTGTGACCCTCCTTTCCTAACTGCATCCATATGTTCCCTGTGGTCTAAGCTGCAGCAGCTGCTCTGCCAGCCTCATAGAGGAGGTTGTATGCTCTGTGCTGATCAGCATCCCTTTGAACACCAAACATACTTCTTTGAGAGTAACCACATGTGCTAATCTAGACTCTCAGTGTCATCCTCACTAGCACCCACGACAGCAGAATGTGAAGGACCAGCACTCCCACCACCAGAATTTCTCCTGTCAGCAAACCTGTGCAGGGCTGATGGCAGCTCAGCTTTTCTGAGGGCAGAATGCAGCCTGTATATATGTGGTTCTTGAGACAACTCATTTCACAGACTCATGAACAGAAAGCATATCATTGCAGCTTAATCAAATTAAATATTTAAATGAAAGCAATAATTACTTAAATTTGTCTTGAGACTTAGCAAGATTAAGTCTTTGAAACATCATTTTTGGCCTGTAGGCTATAATAAGTAAGCCAGTCTCTAATGATTCAGAGAAGACTAGAGGGTTTGGGTTATCACCAACCAAGTATTTATGAAAGACAATGAGCAGTGTGGTTATTAAATGGCCCTCAGACAGTACCTCTTCTTTACAGATAACTTTGCTAACACAGCATCAACCAGGCATTGACATTAAGTAAAAAAAATCCTCGCCAAGCATTTAAATTCCCTGCCAATGTATCTGGAAAAGAGATGTTTAGTGACAGAGCTGCCTGGTGGAAAGCGCGATAACAAATTTCAGCTCTCATTATAATCTGTTAATTAATGTGTTAACATATGATTGCAGCAGATCGGCGAGACCAGCACTCCTGTCAAGTCTAGGCACGCTTAACACATGCCCAGCATACTCTGGGTCCAGAAAATACAGTAAGAGCACATGCCTTCACAGTTAATGTAATAAATCTCATGGTCCTTATGTGTTCCTGGAAGGAATGCTGTCAGCTGAAATTTTTCACACGGGTTTCCTCACTGTTGTCAGTGGCAGGGTGATTGAATTTATGCAGGTATCTGATTCATGAGTCAAGACTGAGATGGTGAAGGTGGTCTCAGAGATTCTGCTTGATTGTGGGCACAACTGTGTTTAAGGTCACAGCTTATAACTGCCTAAGTGCTGCCTTCAAGGACCTCAGACGGGCATGACACCCAGCTTCTTCTGAGTTTGCAGAGAAATAACCTGGAAAGGTGATGCTTTTCTGCACTCTGGGGAGAGCAACGACTGAAGACTGGGAAAAAGCAGGTTGCCAGGAGATAAACAGGATCCACAGGAGCAGAGCTGCATGCTTGGTGTGGAAGAGCAGGCATCAATATGCACCCGTAAGGGGTTAGCCAGCCCTTCAAATGGGGGAGCTGCTAAATGGGCTGGCTATGAACTGCTTCAGGCTTCTGCCCAGGACTGACCATTGGCAGTGATGAACCCGACTGTTCCCTGCAACATGTACCACTGTGTTTTGCCTAGTCTTTCTATTACATCCTTCAAGACACCTTTCCATGGAGCCGGAAATCTTAGTTCTTGGACACTTTTTTCTGCTAGTTAACTATATATTTCTGTTCTCATTGCTCTGTCTCCTTAGTGTTCGATCTTTCAATTATTAGGTGAATAAAAAAGTTGCAGGAACTTTTTATACTTCACTGTAAAGAAAATTCAATATCAATAGCACAGAAGGATATTAGAGTTCAGAATAATAAGGTAAAGCTTCTAGAGCACATTACACACCCCTTGGGCAACACCATTAGTGGCTGTTGATAACAATATCACTGGTAGTGGTAGAGATGAGCACTGATATTGGTAAAGAGAATTTCTGGTCCCATGACAGATGAAATGCACTCCAAAACACCACAAGAACGGCATAAGGGAGGGTGACCTGGAGCATGTCTCCTAAAACAATATTTCTACCTTTCAACCTCAATTTATTTGCATATTTTCATCAGAACCATCTCTGAAATGGGAACATAATTCCTTACTCTGAAGCCTGACAGAAATATCAGTGCAAAAATAAACGATAATGCAGCAAGTTTGTGGTTAACCCTGGGAGACCATTTACATCCACTGTTCTTCAAACTGGGATTGCTGCCAGGCTACCAGAAGCCCTGCACACACAGCTACGGAAAGGATTTCTAACACTAACCATAAGGTTTAGCACACAGGGGTTTAGCACACCCCTTCACAAGATCTCACTAGGAATCACCCCATGTCTGGAAATGGGGAGCTCTATGTGTCCATGCTTGGGAGTGGGAACTCTCACACCAGTGGAGGGTCACCATGCTCAGTCTTGCCTGCTCCTTCAGGAGGAGATTCCCCTCTTCTTCAAATGACAAAGGATCAGAGAGCACTTACAGAATAGGGTATCAGCAGCTGCATCAATCCTTGTAGATAAACAAGAACCTGGATGTGCATTCACACATCAGATCTTGATCACCCATATCGCCTAATCCTTAGGTCAGTGCTGGGCCTTTGTTTTCTAGAGCCCTCTCTACAAGCAGCTTGCACCATACTGCACGGATATGAGCCCAGCTTGGCCACATCTCTGGCTCTCATTCAGTGCTTACTGCAGCCACCAACAACAAAACTAATGGCTTGCTTAGGAGAAAGCTCACATAAGGAGCAAGTGTTATTTACCAGCTTCCCAGGGATGTGAGTAACCAGAGCCATACTCTCCAGGATTGGGTTAAAAAGCCATAAACATGCTAGACTTCAAAGACAGCTAATCGCACTCATTGTGAATTACCTTGACCTGTGTTGTGATGTGATGCCTCTGCCTATCCTGTCAAGATCTCCAGGAATGTTAGCTCCTGTATGGGAAGACTATTAAATTCCATGTCTTAAATTTACACATCCATTACTTCATTTTCTTTTATAACATTCTTTTGGAAAACATATCCAGCAAGTCTATCTGAAATCCCCTGCCTTAGCACCATACCAGAATGATGCAGTATGGATACCCTTCCACACAACTGGGTTGCTCCTCCAAGCCTGAGCTTACGTCCTTTTCTTTTACGGACAACATGTAGAAGAGTCTAATGTGGCTGAGATGCTCTGCTGATAACTCACCCAATTCAAACTGGTTGGAAAGGTTACCACAGGTTTGTCTGACTTCTTCACTGTCCCAGCCAAGAGGATAGAGGGCACAACCAGAGCCGATCAACAAACCTATGGAGAGAAAAGAATAAAAGTTTATACAAGCAATTGCCATTGGCTTAAACACAGGCTGCCACTTGGCAAAGTGTCAAACTGCCATTTAGGAATCTCAGAGGAAAAAAAATAATCTTATCTTCTCCTAAACCCAGTACAACATCATCTAGACTTCTACTGCTGCATTCTGCTGTACTGGTTTTACATATAGTCTGGGGCCTGGAGGCAGCTTTGGTGGCTCAGCAGCAGAAGCCATCCTCAGCTTCTGGAGCTTCTACCTCAGAGCTTTTAGACTCCCCTTCTACTCTGCATCACTGCTACATACACTGTTCGGAAAACCCAGTGCAGGGTTAAGTAGAAGCTGTGTTAATCACAGCACTTACAAGCTGATTGCTTCTGATTAATTAAAACAACAGTCAACCAGGGTCTATCAGTGTTCTAGCAGGAAAAGTAAACTGACAGTTGTGCTAATCTGTTGTCATTTTCCTTTGGTTTTCACCCTTTTGAAAGCCAAGGAAGAATGGTTTCATGTCACCTGATTAATTCATACCTTAGGTACACACTCCACAAAGTTTTCTCAAATAATTTCATCCAAAACTACCAAAGGCTTGAGGCATTTACCTATTATCATGCTTGGCTTAACATTCACAACAGGTTTTGATTTCTCCAGCCCTTCTGCTGCCCCAGACAGATGTGTTTTGGCTAAGACTTTCCCTTCACAAGATCTTGCTGGGAATCACCCCATGGGCCATGATTATTTTGCAGAAGTGGCATTTTTTATCAAACTGCATTCTCAGCTGTCGCTGCAGCAGCTGCCTAAAAGTGGGGTGTTGCTGGCAAAGCTTCTTACACAGACAGTCCAGAGAGAACATTTCAATGTATGCTACAGCATTTAAATGTACCTCCTTTGTGTCAGATCTTATTTATAAGATTGGAAACAAATCACTACGTAGATAATGGGCTGGGAGCACCTGGGTTACACTTCGCAGGCTGTAAAGGCAAAGCAAGTCCTCGAAAAGTTTGCAGTGTGGTTTGGCAGTGTTGCCTTTTACCTGTTAGGTAGCGCAAAGGACTGGGAGAAGGTTTCAAGCCCTACAGCTGTCACTGGCTGACTCTGGGCAACTCCCTTGACTTCACACCACCTCGCTTTTCCTCTCTTGACAATAAGGACAATGTGCTCCCTGGCAAAGCACTTCTGCTGCCGCCGTGTTGCTAGTGCAGAAAAGCCCTGGGTGTGGTGACAGGCACTGTGGACACCACACCAGTTGAAGAGGAGTCCTGGGAGTCATAAGAGTGATTCTGACTCAGGGCCTGGAGCTAGCTATGCTAGCTATTTCTACTGTCTACGTCCTCAAGATGCCTAAGCTTTTTATATTTCTGATGCTACTGTAAGATACAGAAATCACCTTATAATGTTCTTGACTTGCTCAAAGACACACCTGAACAAGGCACTGAAGTCCAGAAGTGGTATCTCATCTTCTTCCAAAAGATGTTTAATGCTCTCAGCATCTTAACAAAGTAGCTCAGCAATTCCTTTGCTGGTCCTCCAAGCACATCTGCCCCTGTTTAGGCCAAATACTAGCTCCTTAGATTTTCTCCCACTAAGTTCAAATCTTCTTACTGCTCAAGTCTACTTCTTCCTTTCCTTGTTGAGCAGTAACTGCCACCTACTCTCTCCATATCTACATCACATAATGGAAAAGAAATCCATAAGGCAGCCCCCTCTCAGAGGGTGTATTCGCCCAACAGCTGTAAATGGGGAAAAGCAATTAAGGACACATAAATGCTAGGTATTTTCAGAACTTTGCCTGACCTGGATATGGTTGCTTCTAATGTCCTCACTAATGGCTTTCACAGTATCATCTGATTTTTTTCCCCCAGGGCCATGGAGCTGATAGCAGCTGGTAGAATCCATGTAAATGAGAGTCCCTTCTAATTAAATTCTCAGAAAGGATGTTTCTTAGACAAGAGAACGTAGCACAAAACTGGGTCTACATTTGTTAAAGACAGCTTCAGACTCTGAAAAAAACTGACTGATTCTCACTTGAATTGTTAAAGCAAGAAGGGCGCTGTGAAGTGCTGACAGCACAGCTGATGTCCTAGGAATGGGCAGGACCCAATGGGGCAAGAAGGAACATCACCACTGATGATGAGAATGGCTGGGAAAGGGAGGAAAAGCACCCAGATGCCAGAGATAGCCTCACAGACTGGTCCTGCTGTGGATCTGACCCCTTCTCACACACGCCATGATGCCCATGACCTGCCTGGTGCCAGCCCAGGCAGACCACAGCTCAGAAGCTGCTCTGGCCAAAAGTGAACTGGCCTGCCTGGGCTGGTGTCAACCAATTGTGTCCTTGAACAGACTCTCTGGAGACCTTGCACATGCTCAAAGGGCTCCACTGTGGAGGGCGGGGAGATGTAGGGGGTAGGAGGTAAGGCAGGCTTGCAGCTGCCTGCACTGGACCAGACGAAACAGCAGCCAGCCCTTCCTCACAAATAGGTCCTGGGAAAGCCTCCTGCCCAATTCTTCCAGGAGAGCACAACTGCTGCACTGCAGGCAAGTGAAAGGACTATTAGCATAACAATGCTGCCCCTCCAAACCCAGAACAAGCTCTTACTCAGCACTTGCCAATTACTCTCCTCAGGTGGCAAGAGTGTCTAGTGCCCATTGCATTCAGAGAGGACTGTTTGTTTTCAGCTCTATTTAGGTTTTGTTGCAGTAACCAGGTTGTTGTTTGGGTTTTTTCCCACGAATATTGCTCACAGCACTTTCTACTGCCACCCTCCAAACACAGCCCATCCTCTTCCAAACACGGGTACCTGTTCACTCTTTCTGCCTCTGATGCTACACTGCGTACAGTGACCTCAAGCCTTGATAACTTATTTCCTTACTTAGCCAGACCTCTTCATCCCCCATCACACCTTTTTTCACATGTCTGTAAATCCATCTCTGTAAATCCAAATCCCAGTTTCAGTGAAAATAAATTATGGGGTTCAGTCAAAAATTCATTAACAATGCAATATACTGTAAATGTTAAATTGCTCCAAAGGAGCAACTGCCTCACTTATACGTGGATGCTTGTCTTTAAAGCCAGTCTGCACTGTCCAGCTCACAGCACCCACCACTGAGCCTCACCATTGGCTATGCCTCCTAGAAATAAATAGACCAAATAAGGGAAATCTAGCATGCTACATTAGAAAACCTCCTTACCCCAACAACAGCTGGCTCTCCAGTTAGCTATGGGCTTTAGCAGCGCTGTTTCATTTATGGAGTACCAGACATTGAGCACTGCAGCTTCTTTTCTGCTCACAGCCTGCACTGATGTGACAATGAAATCAAAAGGGAAACTGCCACATAACACCAGTGCTCCTGCCCCATGGCCTCAGAGCACCAGCAGCAGCACGTTTATGTGTGAAGGACAAAGTATAAAGCCACTGGCAAGCTCAGACACTTCGTTTAGTGAACAAAACCTGCCAGAGACCAAAGGTATGGCCAGGAGCACAGGGTACATTCCCATCTGGCAAAAAGGCTTGTGCCTATAAATACTGTTTTTGTCACAGGTACCAACTGGCCGCAAGTCTTAAAGCTGTTGTTTTGACATCTCCTTTGACGGTCACTGGTTTTCAGCTGATTTTGGATCACCTTCAAATGTTTCCCAGTAGTGGCACATAAGCGCCTGTTGTGGATTTAGGTCTATTGACAAAACAGTTGTGTTCCCCAGTACTTATTGCAGGTAACATGCGGGCCAAACTCAAAGATTTACCTAATGTAGTGCTTCCACAAGGACTTAGAGACTGCTAGCCAGTAAGAAAAAAATTAACAAGTTATGGTTTATGCTCTGAGGTATGTATATATGCATGAGTGCATGTATGTAATGTTCCATTGTTTTCAGCACATGATTTCAACAGGGATGATACTGCTTTGGTCTGCATGGGCAGTGAAGTCAGGAACTGGCATTTCAGCTCTTACTTTATGCACTAAAAGTGTAGAGTATGCCTCAAAGCCCATGGTGTTAATAGGACTTGGACAAAAACCTCTCAGACTCTTCTTTCTCTTCTTATCAACCCACCCGTTTGTAAGCAACTGAACTTGTGGATCAACCCTGCAAAAGCAAAAAGATTGCACACTATTACAGCTAATAATTCAAACACGCTCACAGCCAATTTGTTTTATCACAGAGAATGTAGATC